GGTGAGGCCCATCCGGCTGACCTGAAAGTAGAGGCCTTAGTGACGAATTGGTGCTATCTCCAGGCCTGACCGAGACCATGTCGAGTGCGCTGGCCGTAATCCCTCTGCTGCTCTCGTCCACTGGCCCGTCTGTGCGATGTTTAATGGTCGCCTGGCTCGTGTCGTTGGGCAAATAAAGTTGGCTCTCTGACAACAGACTCTCGAAGAGCTGGCCATCTGCCGTGGCCAGCCTCAATTCAGGGCCTTTTCTGCCTTCTTTGAAGTCTTTCAGAAGGTCCATAGTGGTGGGTGTGAACAAGGGCGGGTTGTCGTTTTCATCGAGCACGTCGATGCGGAGACCGGTCTCATGAAAGGCGGTTCCATCAGTGACACTGACACGTAACTCGTAGGAAGCGATCTGGCACATTGGGACGCAAGAAAGTTATGAAAAAGTAGTTCACATGGGGAGTTTAATGGAACATCGAAAAGCATGTGAAATCAATGTGGTGCCACAAATTTTACTGGAAGTGAGTTATCATGATTAAAGATTGCCAACGCAGTTGGCTTCGGATGATGGAAGATGGGACTCTTTTTTCTATCCGATGAATTGGTCAAAATAGGTAAAATCAGGATTATTTAGGAATCCTATCAGAAAAAATAAGCAACTCGCTGAGCTTAATATTCGTATGTGAGTAGGGTTTCGAGACTACCAGTCTCATTACGCTGAGTTTAAATTAACTTGAAAACACATGCTGGGATTAATATGATTGCTATGATCATTTTTAGTCGACCAGTTATTCTAAGTGAAAGAACAGTCAATAGAGGCGATAGAATTAAGGTATTTCAGGGCTTGAAATTAGCGTTATTCAGGAAGACAAAAAAGACATTTGATTCTGACGAACGACGAATTCTATCTTAAGAGATTCATCGAAACCCACTTACCTATCGTATCTACAATTGACTGTGAACTGTCTAAGTAGTATTTTAATTCAAGATTGAGTAAATCTGGCTTTATTTAGACGTAGTCACGTGGAGAAAAGTGATCAAACGACAAGTTTAACCAACCTCCAAAAAGATGCACGCAACTGGAGCTGTGAGTTGGGTTGGCCTACCTCACATCCTGAAGATGCCCTTAGCCAGAACCTTGTGAATGAATGAGTTTGCCTCTGGGAATACATGACCCAATTTTGTGTCAGAGTCAAGTCAAATTCAAGACCTTTTTTCTGAGAGAAAGGAAACATTTTCCTCTATTGCATTTTTCTAAACTCAAAACCGTAAAGTCCTCTGCTGTACAGCATTCAATACTAACCTTAACCTGACCACCATCGTCACAAAGCCAGAATGGCTTCCAGCAACTTCAAAGGCTTAACATTTCAAAGGTAAATCTGAACAGGAGAACAAATCTTTTGGCCATTTCAAGCAGAGGAACGTGCCGACCGATTGCGATAGAAGAAGGAACACTGGTTTGTGAAATTGCAGGAGTTCGCCTCATTAGGAACAGCGATTAAAAGGTCATACCTATTCGCTGTCCACATGATAGATACAGCTGATGACATCAGATTAAATTAATTCTAAGCACTAGTGTCGTCTATAGTTATAACCGCAAGCTGGAAATTTAACCTTAAACAACCACAGGCTGTTAGCGCATCTATGCTGTAAAACGACGAATTTTCGCTTTATAGTATCCTCAATGAATTTCTTAAAGTATATTCCTTAAGAAGTATTCAAAAATTCAGGCAATTTACACAAAAGTACAAAAATACCCTGGATTTCCTTTCAATAATGTGCAAAAACGGTATATTCACCTTCTCACGATCCAATGGGGCAATCACACGGACGACTCCTGTCAACGGGTCTAGAGTAAATGGATTTTCGGTGTTCGTTTGAAGCTCCCTCCTCTGATCCGACTCATCTCCAGATACTTCAACTGTTCTCTTGTCAGTCGTCTTTTTGTATGCCTCTCGAAGGTGTCCGTCGGTCGGCTGGTTCGATCGGATGGTCACATGAATGCCATGTCCCGTGGTGACTGAGACGAGGCCAACAATGGAAAAAGTGAATGGGGGCGCTGTTTCTGGGCAATGTAGGCAGTCGGCATCGTGAGCGGTCAACTGAAAGACGGGGCTGAATATTGGTGCTGCCTCGGAGACAGCTGCTGTGAAGTAGGCTCGCGAGAAGCGGACTGGCGAGTCGTTTTCGTCCATCACGCGAAGGAAGACGTAGCAGGCCTCGTTATTGATGTCTTCATTATCCTCATTCTCGTCTTCGCTCTCGTCAGGATCTGCGGGCTCTGAAGAAGAGGCTTCATAAACTAAGATCTCTTCAGAACCAGAGTTGCCTCGGCCTAGTAAACCCTCGTAGAAGTCGGGCTGTTCTGAGATTATTGTCAATTCGAAGCTGGATGGCAAAAAGATGACGAAAAGGTGGTGAAAAAAAATGATTTCACCTTGCGGCTGCGCAAAAGAGAGCCTGTGATGAAGAGGCTTACGCGTTTACGCGAAAGACCAGCTTCTAGTCATACTGAATGTATTTGTAAAATTTTACATAACAGGCTCTTTAAAGTTGGCTAGAGATGCTTCGAGAGGACTGCAGGGACTAATGTTTAAGAGATGAAAGTGCAGTGGCAAACCGTCTTGGTTGAAAAGTCTGGTACACTTTTAGCTTCCTCAGAGCAAAGGCCGAAATGAATCCCTAAATTCCTGCAAGTTATTTCGAGGATAATCAACAAATCGCTTCATACTTCTGTTGAACGAGGATGGATATATGCTTACAAAATTACTGATTTAGGAAAATAAGTGTCAATTTGAATTATACATAAGTGTTGAGTTTTCGTGACTCGTTAGCTTGAATTTGGTTGTGAGGATGACACCTTGCTCTGATGATGTTCGTCATAATACGGACGTAAACTTAGCCCGTTTTCATCGGAATCGAAGGAGATTACCTCGCAAGCAGCCTCAAAATGATGTTCCCGGTAGGCCAATCGACAGCCGGTCAAGAGGAATTCGCCGTCGTTTTCTGGTGGAATCGACCTTCGAATCTATTCACCAAAAACCTACCCTCGAAATGGAATTAAGCTTAACGATTATGAAACAAGAGATTCCTCGAAACGCAACTTTCTTCGAATCAAACATAGCTCAAGATTATGCATGTCGCTTATAGCGGAGGTTATAATGATAAGAACTCTGTAATAATTCAGCGTAAAATCTTGACGTTTCTCAGCTAAATTAAAGCAAAGTTAATAAAAAGTCTCTTTATTGTCATATGACTTTTCATTTCGAAGGAAAAAGAACCGGAAGGGATTTGTGAATCGCTCTCACAGGAAACCGTAAGGAAGATAGCCTCCTTCGAGTGAAGAAGTCGGCGGCTCATTATAATGCAACCCCAATGAGTCCGTGTTGAGCTCTCTTCCGTTATGCCATACCAAACGTGGTCAAAGTAATAAAGCATACTTAACGAAAAAGCCCTTATTTCTTGGCTTATTCTATTTAGTGCGTTTTTTTTGCAAATGAGGGTTTCTCATTAAGATGATGCGTGCCACCCGAGGACAGAACAAAGCTAATCACCGGTAATCGGGGTCGCACACAATTTGACAATCTTTACTCTAAGGCAATCCTCCTTCGGCTTCCTGTGAGGCCAGCTTATGACTCCTTCATACCAACTTTCGCCCCGGAATGATTAGGCATATCACAATAAACCACTAGGCCAGTCTCCTAAACCAAGATTTGCTTCATAGCAATAATCTATTACAGAAGAAAAACACTACATTTGACCAATAACTTAAAATCTCTTGTGTTTTTATGAAAAGTAAGTAGCGTCTGTCGTTTTCAGCGAGAACTAAGAGCCGAATTGGTTCGACTGAAGACAATGCCAGAATAACAGCACGATTTAGGGAACGATAGCGTCTTTTAATTTAAGCGT